ATGAAGAAGGAAAGAAAACTGACATCTATCCTGAGTCATAACATCACTCAGAATCTCCAACAACCACTGATTTCTCTTTTTCCGTGAACCATAAGCGGCTAGCGAACAGTCAAGGATTTCATGCATTGATGCTATGTTTAAGTCTGGACGCTCTGAGCCTTTCTCTAACCTGAACCTTCTTTGGCTAACATTGTGCAGTTTATGGACAATAGTGTATCGAGAAGCGTACATAAATTTGGAGTCAGATATCAGAGTACGACTCGGTACACGTGGTCAATTCACCTAACTACTATCGATAAAACTATGTTTTTACCAAATAATTCTCAGAAATATTTACTTTGTCAGATAAATGGAGGTGGTCAGCATAAAAGTGTATCTGAAACATTGAGGCAACTGATGCTTCTCAAGATATGAGTCAGAATCTTCCAGTACAGCAATCGAAGAAGTTCGTAGTGAACTAATCCAGTCACGGTTAACTTTGTACACATCTTCGAAATGATCAGAGATCAAGATGTGAATAACTGAGAGTTTTTCAAAGTCAACTCTACAAATCCACAAGTTATTGTTGACTTACTTCAATACATTTAATATCTTATCATAGACGGTGATTTCTGATAGCATCCTATGAACTGACGAAGATGTTAAAATACTGAGCAGCAGCATTAAACAGCCATGAGATTTGTAAAACGGAGTACTTTCTTCCTTTAAATGATTAATTCATAAGAGTGAAGTATAAAAGAAATAGTAATCTTTGTTTGTTGGCATTTATCAATGAGAATATGTCTACAATCTCACAATATTGCAGCTGAAGACGTTACCGCTAAGACGTCAGTTATGGCTAACCTCCACAAGAGATGAACTGGAAACACTAAAAACGTATCTCATAATAGGCCGAAGTCTACTAGTTGATAAAAAGTTGATCGACAGAATTCAATCTGTATTGGGGGCTAGTCATCGTGATTTATGACTACCCTTTTGACTAATTCATTCAGATACTTAGCCACCTTCCATTCACTTTATTTTTAAAGAACCTATCACTTAACAAATATGCAGGACAAGAAAGTGGAGATTGATTGGGCATACACCGAGAAGGCCGACTGGGGACATCAAGCACCAGGCCCTCGAGTGGAACCCAGATGGGAAACAACGGGTTGGGCGTCCCAGGGTGACATGGAGGAGATGGTATGAGGAAGAAATGAGAGCTTGTGGGCAGTCGTGGAGCGAGGTTGAAAAGACTGCAGAGAAGAGAGTGCAATGGAGACGTGCTACTGAAGCTCTATATCCCACTAGGAACTCAAAGGACAAGTAATAATAAATGTTATCATCGGCGTATGGCTGACAGTTTAGTATAGAACGCACGTTTCGACATTTCGAAACTGCAATGCTCCATACTACAATGAAGAATCTTGATAAAAATTCGGAAGCATTTTATCTGTAATACTGATACGTAGACTAATTAACTTCTTAGAAATATTATGAAACTAGATAGATAGAAATGTCATCCAGTGTATGCGAAACGTTAAAGTCTACGCAGTGGGATACCATTAAGGGACTCTGTTCCTGAAATATATAGATCAACACATTCGGAAGCATAATGTTTATTGAGAGTCTAAGGATTCTATGTAGTTAAATTTCATCAGCAGACAGACCTTGCAGCTCAGTTGGTGTAGAGCATCAGGCTGGAAACCCGTTGGCCTCTGGTTCGAATCTGACCGCGGTTCAAATTTTCATTCAACCTTCAATCACCACCCTGTATAAATAATTGTCTGCCAAACCATAGCTATCTCAGATTTGGATTGGATTGAGAAGTCCTGACTAGGCAACCAGTGTAAATGCAATCAAGCGGTAGTATCGAATCACAAATTCACATAAAAGTCGTCGAGCAAAACCCATGAAGATCGAAGTGAAATAAAAATCTGGTCAGAAGTCAGACCTATTAGCTCAATTGGTGTAGAGCATCAAGCTGGAAGCCCGATGGTCGCTGGTTCGAATTTAGTGGCGATCCAAATTTTCATCTAATCTTTAATCACCACCCAGTATAAATCTCTGGTGTCAAGTATCTTATGTACATAATGTGATGAACAAAACGGAAAACTAAAAGGCTGATATCCCAAACTTTTACAAGTTGATATACTCTGTAGTCACTAATCCCATATTTTTTCTATACTAAGGCTGATTAGATCCACGCATGATTCAAAATACTACACAGAGTCGAACATAGAACAATGCGATTGACTATAGCTGAACAAATATGCAGAAGGAAGTGGAGATGGATTGAAGTGGGCATGTACTGAGAAGACCATTCAGCGAAATCATGCGCCAGGCCAGGCAGTCGAGTGGAACCCAGATGAAGAATGACGAGTTGGGCGTCCGAGATGAGGGTGACATGGAGGAGATGGTGTGGGGAAGAAATGAGAGCTTCTGGGCTGTTATGGAACCAGGTTCAAAAGACTGTAGAGAAGAGAGTGCACTGGAGACGTGCTACTGAAGCCCTATGTTCCATTAGGAACCCAAGGGACAAATAAATAATAATAATAATATAATGATAAATTGAATATGTTATCCGGTTGAGTTGCGTAATGCATAGCTATAATCACTTCTTCATTTCAATGTAACTTATAGTCGACTAATATGCACTGATGTATCTTTCTACAACCAACTTTCTTAATACTGAAATCACAAGACACCCAAATGAACAATCAGAAAAAACTTTACTATCTAACTAAGCGATACTATGATAGTACATTCTGGATATCGCCGTACAACGTAGGATAAATGATGCAGTACAAAAGTTCATTCATCGAAAGAGAACGTGGAATGGTACCTCCTATCCCTCTATCAACCACAAACCAAGAATATTTAAAACCTTATTTCATAAATCTGTAATTGTATATTCCAGCGATAAACTGGGGGAATAGATGAAAGATGCCTAAAGGACAACGACTATCCTCAAACATTTATCAACTAATATGAAACAAGATGTAGAAAAAAGTTACAGTCAGGTAAAAGTCAGTATTCATTCGCGTCAAGTCCAGAGATGATGACAATGCAAGGACTATTAACAAATGATTGAAGACATCACTACCTAAAGCTTCCCTTGTAACCAAACAGTATTGTCTTTAATCGAGTGAAAAGTTAACAATTACCCTTTGTATGTTACCCTCAATTGTGTGTATGTATCAATTTACGTGTAAATGTTGGCAAAACAGAAAGAAGGGTGTACTTTAGATTCTGTGAACATGATTGGAACCCAAAAGAATGCGGAGACGTAAGACTCTGAATAGCACCATAATTCACCATGCGATTAACACTCGACATCAAGACGTCGCCGATTCCTTGAAGATAACCATAGTTCTCATGAACTCCTCGTACCTGGTTTGCATGTCCAAAAAAGAAGCCGCTATAGTCAATCTCTGTCTATCATGGTAACCATTCTTAGCTGTTATTTAATTGCATTATCCCTTGTTCATGATGAATACTTTTTTGGTTAACTGAGCCAGCTTTATACGCTATTGATTACATGACGTATATGTACGGTAATAGTAATAATAATTATTAATATTATTATCTTTGAACAATACTACAAGTACGCGTGGTAATAATAATGATAATAATAATAACAATGATAAATCAGAGTTCAGAAAGCCACAAATAGGAATAAAAACGCACTGGCACAAGGAGAGAGAAAAGAAGAAGAAGAAGGAGAAGAGGAACAAGCAACATACACATACACAGACTTAAATACAACTGGAACACTGAAAGAGAAAGTAAGCGACTGAACTGAACTCAAACGATGGTATGAAATCACACACAAAATAAACAATAATAAATCAGAGACAAAGGGAACGACACACACACATATGCTGAACTTGTCGTAGACAGCAACAACACAAAGAACAGAGAAAGAAAAAAGCGCATCCAAGAAGAGTATGCTAGAAATACTAATAATAGTAATGGTAGTGTATCGTGCTGAAAGACTTATTACCAAGTGGATAAGAATAACTAGAATAATGCTGAGAGAAGTAAATAATATCAAGTAAGTTATAATAATGAGGATATTGATGACACACAGAAAAAAAACATGTATATGCCTTAAAAAATAATTATATGATGTATATTGCGTGTACAGAAAGGTGAACAAGTGTCAAACAGCTATCGGAGAACAGATGGAATGTCATCAAGTAAGGAGACTGTCAGTTGTTGTACAAGTGGCTGGGTTAATTGGTTAACTGGTTGGCTGGTTGGCTGGCTGGCTGGCTGGCTGGCTTTCATTGAACATGATGACGGAGAAGAAGAAGGAGGAGAGACAAATGCAAAGGCAAGTTGGCATGCATACTCGACACACACACACACACACACACACACACAACGAAAGCCACGTCTTCCACACGTATGCATATATATGAGTAGATCCCAGTAGACGGACAGCAAAACTGCAGACAGACAAATAGAATATAGGAGAATCACCCTGAGAAGATACTTTATGGAGGAGATGAAGAAGAAGGCGGTGGCGGCAGCGGCGAAATCAAGACTGTGCATATAATCTGTCTCTTGAAATGAAATGAAGTAATTCACTACTGAAGACTATCATCATCAACAACAACAACAACAAAATAAAGCGAAAATGAGAAAAACCAACAATAAACAACGAAAAATAAATAAATAAACCCAAATTAAATTGACATTATATATGGCTAAAAGAAAATAATTGAAGGTAAGGAAAGGAGGTAGTGGGGATTTTTCTTTTTTTTTTCTGATGAACAGAAAAATTGAAGCACAATTATTACACAATAGATTGAGATCTCAATGTCTCATAATTTGTATATTCCTTTTGACAATCAATGAGACAAAGATATGTACATATAACACTCACACACATACACACACACACACACTTGCGAGTATATGCCTCTTCATTAAGGTGTAGTGCAGAAGGAAAATGCAAACATTATCATATATATATATATATATATATATACATATAGATGTAGATAATATTCTTATGTATTCAAAGTTGATTGATCAGTAGTGAACTCGCCTGAATTTGTATATACCAATAGACTGTTCAACTCAGAGGTTAAATACCCCAACCCTTCAACCATTTTTGATGCAAGTTGAGTTAAGTGCATTAATTGTAATTCTAAATTGTACAACTCTGAAGATGAAGAAGCTGATGATGATGATGATGTATATGTAGAAGTTGATGGTGTAATTCCTGCACGACGTACAGCTGGACCTGTTTGTAAATCGATCAATGCTAATCGATGATACAGGTGAACAGTTGATAAGAATAAAAATCCCAAACTAATAAAAACAAGAGAATATAAATGAGTAAAAAAAAAACAACAACATTATAATTAATCTTTACTATATAAGCACCATAATGCATAAATATATGAGATAATAGCTATAGGCTTAGTTGGCAGAGTATCGTGACACAAAAACTAGATAGATAATCACTGGTACGAATCCGATGGCGATACAAATTTTCATTCGACTTGCAATCATTATCATCGTCATCATCCAGTATTATTGTAATTAACCAATTTAAACAAATATTTTTGTGTTTCTTAGGTTTTTCAATAGCCTCTTTCTCTTTTCATCCGCCACCCCGCGACCAATTAATATCAGTTCATAGGTTTTTACTTCAATTCGGTGAATGAATTGACACCTGACGATGTTATTCCCTTAAAATAAATAGAAATATCTGTCAGTTCAATAGATAAGATAGCTGTAGATGACGTAAGAGTACATGTGTACACTGAAATCGTAAAAGAAAATCAAATCTAATTCATGTAACCTAGAAAGACAAGCTCTCAGGAATCTTCAAGATGATAACAATAGAGTAATTAATAAATCGGATGAAGGCAACTCAATAGTTATCTAATGAACAAATCAGACTACATCTGAAAAAGTCAATGAGCATATAGAAACAGGATCATATGAAGAAATTAAGAAGTCAGTGGATACTATTATGAATAAGGTCAAAAATGGACAAGGGATCCGATACCCTGAATGAAACCGTTTCTACATGAGTCAAAAATGGTTGAATCTAATACCGAAAACTAATAATCCCATTAGAATGTATGGTACTATTAAGATTCATAAACCAGGTTATCTAATCAGGCTTATGGTAGACTTTAGAAACACTCCGACTTACGAGTTGTCCAAATATTTAGCAATGGTGTTAGGTCCAATAAGAAATCACTCAAAGTCTCGACTTATCAACTCTTATGACTTAAAGCATAGATTAGACGACATACACTTAGATGACAGTGAAAAAGTGATTAGTTTTGATATAACTAGCCTTTACACAAATATACTGATCGACACGTGGCTCTAGAAACAGTTAAAAATGGGGTTAAGGATGACAATGAGCTTACGCGTCGAACTAAGGTACCGATCGACGAAATCATACTAGGAGTAAGATTATGCCTAACATCTACAGTTTTTAAATTTTAAAATAAAATATATGAACAAACTGAAACTGTTGCCATGGAATCATCAATATCCCCTATTATGGCAGACATATTTATAGACAGTTGTGAACAGATGACCCTTCAAACAGTTACTTCTGCTCCAAGCATATAGTTTCGATATGTAGATGATACATCTACAGTACACTGAAATCGAAACACATCAATAGGTTCTTTGCATATATAAATTTAGTAGCAAATGAAATCCAATTTACCTATAACAATGTTCGATTGCAAGGTTAAACGAATACAAAACGGGGTCTAGAGACTACTGTCTATAGGAAACCTACCCATTCGAATCGTTACTTAGACTTCAAATCCTCTCACCATATTTCAGTTAAAGTAGGCTTAGTTAAATGCCTAAGTGATAAGGTGAAAAACCTTTCTGGTAGACCAGAAAATCTACGACAAGAAGTTAGATACATCAAGAATACCATGCGTCTCAATAATTACCCACCAAAAGTTACAAATAAACTCATATGAGATTGAAAGAAAAATATTACCATTTGTAGTAGCAGTAGTAGTAATACTGGTGTTATTAATAATAATCCTATTACTAATGGTAATAATGTTGACAGAATTGAGAAAGAATCCAAATCCTCTACTATGTTTTTACACAAGGAAGTTACTTCAGAAGCGTTGTGAAGAATTCTGAATAAGGCTGGCTGGGATTAAAGTGGTTAGCTCTTAGACCAACAAACTCGCTTAGAAACAAACTTTGTAGGCTAAAAGACGCTACAGATGAAATTCACCAAAATAATTTGGTTTACCAAATCCATTGCAATGATTACGAAGTCAAATACACAGGTGAAAGTAGTCGACCTAGGTCGATTAGGATTAGGATAACAGTGAACAAGAAGTTAGCTAAATCAAGATTAGTAGATCCTACTAATAAGATATGATGTTCAGAGAAAAGCTCGCCTATAGCTCTCTCTCTCTCTCTCTCCCTCCCTCTGTACGCAACTACACACAAACACACAGTAGAGTGGGATACAGTGACAGTATTGTGTTCTAACTTAGTTGTATGGAGTGAGGGAGAGATTGATAACCGACTGAATCGTTGCTTATCGAATCAACGCCAAACACATGCAAAACAGGAATGATTCTGCACGTGTCCCAGATGTATAGAAAATTCCGAAACGTCGTTATCCAGTAAATATACTGTTCCACTGTGTGTGACATTTCTCATAGGAATTACAGTCTACCACACTGATCAAGTCTGACTCGTATATTCTTGGTTCGATTCCTGGAGAGGTGACATCTTAGATGCGTACACTGATGAGGAGTAGAGCCCCATGCTCCTAGTTTTTCAATGGTTCACTGAGATGAATATCAACTTCAACACTCATCTGTCTTAAATCAAGAAGTTACAACAGACTACATTATCTGTTTAACAGGGTGAGATGTTGGTTGTGTTACGTTCTGTGTAAGCTGGGGGTGGTTTGATCGTGAACAAGTATTCATTGTCTTTCTCAACAGTAACGTCATCACCAATAACTTTATATTGAAGAGTGTCTATCAATATTTCCATGTCAGTATGATTTAGTAGCTTACCCTGATGAAGCGCCTTGTGATTGTTTTTCTCCCGTTAGCTATTTCTCAGTACACACGTTGATCAAAACCTCAACTATATTAGCAACAACCGAACAACGCACAAAATTAGTTGCTACAGACTCTAATCAAACCACCAAGAACACGTTGCAGTACAACTTCATGGAGGAATGAAGGAAATTACTTGATCTCTATCCTAAAGTTTCATCAGAAGATGCCTATCCCGTACGTCGTCATCAGCTACAAAGTCATCGACAGAAATCATCAAACACATCATCCTACTGTACGTAAAGATATCAGAGATCATGAGAAGATTACTGAGACCACTTGGAATTTGTGTAATGCCGTCTCAAATCCCCTTCAAACCCTATTATCCAGACCAAAAGATACATAACAAGCAAAAAAGAAAAACCAAATATTCTTTACAAAATCAACTACGAAAATTGTGGTCACCTTCATTTAAATGAGAACATCAATTGGCTATTAAACATCACGACATTTCATTGCTCATTTCAATCCATGTAGATAACAAATACGGACATGACAATGTAGAAATCTTCGAAAGGAGTGGAACCGTAGAGAATATCAAAGAATTTCCTAGAAGCTTGACATTCACATCAGTCAATAATCAATAGGTGTATAAAAAACATAGTCAGAGAAATAGCCGATATGGAAATCTGTGCAGTCAGTTAATGACACAACAATCATAGACCACTTTTGTTACGGTAAGCTAACTGAATCACGCTCAGTGAGAGGTACTAACAACTCATAATTCATATTGAAGTTAGTGTTGATGATGATGTTGCTGTCTAGAAAAAGACAATGAATGCTTCTCACGATTAAACCACCATCAACTAACAGAGAATGCAATACAACCGAGATTATTCGCCTAAGCTACAAACATTCCCCACCATTTTAAGGCAACCCCAATTAGGACTCACTCGCCACTTCACTTATCTGGGAAGTAGGATTAGCCCTGATGGCTCAGTGATCGATGAAATCTCTACATGGATAAAAAGATTTAGCTGGCTTTTGCCAACTTATACCACTAGTGGCGCCGCCTGATATCCGATTGTCTATTAAGGGTGGCGTGTACTACACAGCAGTCCACTCTGTTCTACTCTACGGCTGTAAAACGTGGCCATTGAAGGTGGAAGACATGGGAAGACTGGCTTCAGGTGTTTGACCACCGTTGCCTTCGTAATATGGGCCATATTCCGTGGTGTCACCAGGTGAGTAACACAGAAGTCAGGTGTAGAGTTTTAGGGAGAGAGAAGAGGTAAGTCAGTTGATGCTGTTGTGAACATTCATCGACTGAGATGGATGGATGGTACACATGTTACGTATGTCTAGCCACCGTCTGCCTCGTCACACAATGTTGGTCGAAGTAGATTCAGGTTGGAAAAAGGCTCGAGGTGGCCACACTAGAACATGGCACCAACGTAGAAAGTATTTGACTATTGGTTTGAGCCATGTAGGGCAATGCAGACTGGGTAATTGGGGTTCGCGGGACAAGAGAAACCAGTGGTTGGAGACCCTAGGTGATGTTATGGCTCAGAACTGATGTCAGTGGCATAGATGTATCCCCACACACATTATCCTCATCTTAACGCTATGCCAAATCTCACCATTTTGTCATTCTTCCTTTCTCTCTTTTGGTACTTTATATTTCTTTGACAGAATTCTCTTTTCTTCATCTTCCAAGTTACTGCCTTTTTATTTCATGTAATTATACGAGCTGTGACAACTCGGACAGTTACGCAGTAATGCCTGGTCCTTTTGCTGACTTCGATAGATGAACCTAGCCGTCAGTTTAGAATTCATTGGTTTGCGTTTTTATTTTCCTTTCCATTCATGATATAACGCCACCTTCATTGAATGCCGTCGTTGAGTATCTGATGTCATGTTGTGAAAGTGTTAAGATAAGAGGTTGAACATATTTCTACTGCATGCAGAGATCAATCAAGCTTGAATTGGTGAATTGCCAGGATGCACAACTGTCGAAAGTCTACTACCTTTAGAACTATACCTTATGACTCTGTAAATGACAAACTGAAGGAGGACTCTGATGGAGTTATATTCTCTAGAGCTGACCAAATGTTCAAGAATTGAACTGTTAGTTGATTTACATTATTCGCCACTTACCTCGATGTTCCATTTTCAAGATGGCCAGACAAAGACGTGGCACCATCCCATGAAGTCTCTGATTGTTGGTCTAAACCCTATGGATAGTTGGTGACTACCTGGATAGGGTCTCCGAGACGTTAGGAATTAGTG